CGAGGGCCCAGTCCACTGTAGGGCCCTGATTAGACTGCACACTCCCCATGGTGCCTCTGATCAGCAGCCATACTCGTCTCTCACCATCCATCGCTTCATCCCGCCCTCTGTTTCCATCTCTCTGAGGTCCATCGCTCTCCCTTTGTCGCTCTTTTGCTCTCTCTTTCCCTCCTCTTTCATTCTATCCATCTATCCATCTGTCCCTATCTCTCGGGAGGCCAGCCCAATTAACCTGTTTAAACAGCCATCTGAGCATCCCATCCATTCCAATGTGGCTGAGTGAGAGAGCGCCAGTTCTCCGCGCCAGGTTCCCAGTGCCAGGCCCCCGTCCGCTGCCCTCCTCCACCTCAACTCCCATTCCTCTCCTCTCCTCCTCTTCATCTCCATCATCCTCATTCTACTTGCTCCCTTCTTGTCCTCAATGGGCCTGATTGTAGCAGAGATCGGGGGCCGTGAAGAGTATCTTTTCTTTACTGTTTCTGCAGAGCAGGGTGACATCTGATGCATTCAACGCGCCACACTTTGAACAATTTAAACGGCTGCAGCTATAAACTCTGCTGCCTCTGGAGATCTCCACTTTAGCAACTGCAATCTGCCAATTTTTCGCCTCTTCCCTTTCTCCTCTTTAATGGTCTTTCATTCATTTCGCTGTCTCTCTGATTGCCACCTCTACACACTCTCCATCCTTTCATCAATCTCTCTCCCTCCATGCCCTTCCATTCTCCTCCCCTCTTCTCTCACCTTCTCCCTGTCACTCCTAAGCTTTCTCTCTCTCCCCCCTCAACGTATCCCTTTCTCACCTCCCTTTCAACACTTGTCACCTACTTCATGTCAGGCTGTCCAGAGAACACCTCAAGAAGGTCACAACTCTTTTCACATCCTCCTTGTCCTTGTCTTTGTTTTAGTGAGAAGGGAACTTTAATTAGAAAAGAGAGGAATATGCAAAGGCTTTGTTTGGGCTGTGATATTATAGTGCCATTTCACCGCATTATTAGCAATAGTGTTAAAGAAAGCATGGAATTGATCCCTCCCTATGAGAGACCCCACATATATCTTGGTAGTGTTTGTATCGTTTCTGATGTGTCACTACATTGACTAGACGGCAGAATAGTGCTGGCCTGGCTGTTTGGCACACGGGGTGTCTGTGTAATTTGCCAGATCAATGCACAACCCGAGCCACTGCTTTAGACGACGTGTTAATGTGCAGCTCTGTGCCGTTGGGCTTCATTGCTCTGTTGTTGGCCGATTTTATAATCTCTCTTATAGCAGTATCGACCCAACTGAGTGTAAGAGGAGCTATTGGAGTTTTATGTGTGTGAGTGTGTGTGTGTATGTCGATGGAGGAGTAAAATTGGCACTGTCTTTTTCTTTAATTGGTGCAAGAACAAGACCCTCTGGGTACCCTTTGCGCAGCTTGTCACTCCATTTGTATGTGGGTATTGGTGCAGTTAGTTCAGCTTGTCATTGTTGAGACATCCAGCCAATCATGGTGAATACATGCCTACACACACACACACACACATACATACACACAGGGACTGATTATATGCGTACTGTATACGCCTACAGTATATACCCAACTACCTCATTGTTTAGTGGCTCATCAATTTAGTCGTTCACCGATTTTCCCTTAAAGATTTAATTTTTCCATTATTTACCAACAAAGAAATAGTAAGCATCATATTAAATCACCACAACAGTGACCTCAGCTTGAGACGACCCTTCAGTATTTCGGGCCGTCACCACTAGTGCCTCTGAGGAAAAAAAGATGGAAACAATTCAAATATAAAATGGGAAACAGACTATATGCATTATCTGACACACCTTCTGAGGTCGTTAAAGGACTATCACATGGACACACAACTATTCACACCCATGTTTTAATGCAGAACCTTACTGCCATGATGTCCCAGCACCGCAGCAACTGTTATATTTCTTTAATGTGTTTGAACATACCCCCTGGATAACCCTTCCCCTCAGTTTGAAGCCTCAGCATTCAGGCCTCTAGCAGCCATGACGGCAGCAACACACTGGTGGGTGCGTGCCTAGCTCAGACAGAGACGAGAAAATAATTTGAAGACGGTGAGAGGAAGGACAACAGACCACCTGCTGCTTTTGTTTTTTCACACTCTTAGACAGTTTCACATATTCGGGAACTTAGAAATAAAATAAAGCATGCTTTGAATTAGATGTTTGACTTAATTTTATGATCAGGCAGCCTTCCAAAAAGCTATTTGCACGGATACATGTTTGCCAACTGGCGTGTTTGTTATTTGTCATCCCCACCTTCCAAATTCAATTTTGAGAATCTGCAAAAAATAAATGGTAAAAGATATGAGATAAGCTTAGACAAAATAAAAGAGAATGAGACAAACAGAGAGAAGCGAAAAAGGCTTTTGAGAGTGTTTGTTTGGGGAAGAACTGTTCAGCTACATGAAGAGAGGAAGCCAGACTTCTCTGCCTTTTGGCTTGATGTAATCAATCTCCTACATCCTGTCTCTTCCTGTCTAGACCGGGACAGTTGTGCAGCACCTGCTATATGCGCTGTTGTTGCTGAGCTGTCCCTTCTGACTCAGCTCTGAGTGGCTTTCTGGACATCAAGCCTCAGAGAGAAGGGTACTGACAAGATCACAGGCATATTTAGATCCAGAGAGAACAAAAAGCCTGATTTACTCACAGTTTACTTTCTGTAATAGAAGCCTTGTTTCAGCTGTTGTGGAGACGTGGGAAGAGAGGAAGAGTAGATACGGCAGTGAGATGCGGCCTTCAGATCAGGGTTTTCTACGATTTGTAGTCTAGACGTTATAATCCCCGAGAGGGAAAGGCTTCGGGTGCTGCGAGGGAGGAAGGAGATGAGTATATGGCCGATATGTGCGACACTTTGTCTGTGACTCATCTTCTCATGAACTCCGTGAGAGTCTCATAAGAGATCCCACACACGAGCGCCATGGCAAAGCAGAAAGCTCCATACTGAACTATACAGTATTATCTTAATGTGATATAAAAAGTATTTAATGCCCTTACTGGAGAGAACAAAACTCCATAGAGATTTTCTTTCATGTGTTGAACTGCCTCTGATTACTTCTCTGGCAGTGTACCCTGCTGGAGAAGCAAATCTCCTCCCCGTACGGGATGTTCTGTTTTGAAGGATGGCTCTTTTCCTGTACATTTGCCACAGTTTCCAATCAAAAGTGTCTGTATGGTGCGAGGATGCTGTGATGATTGAGGCTTGACTTCCATTTGTACTCCCTGCTCATACAAATTGCTATTTTGGATGATTCAATTTTGAGTTTGAGTAAAACTATTATTTCTCTATATGACACCAGAGCCCTGTTAGCATTGGTCCACAGTGTAATATCTATTTGTCGGGCATTAATTAATTAACCACTTTTGTTGTTCACACAATCATGTTTACATGGGATGGATGAATATGCACCGTTTTTATTATTCTTTCATGTGAGTGATAAGCCTATTCAAGTAAATGTGTGATTTGTGTTAATCACACATGTTAAATGAATACTGATCAGATATGTACAAACAGGCCATGCCCTCTAGGTGCAAGAAAACATTCCCTGCAGATTGGTTAATAGCAGTGACTGGTTTAGTGTGACTGTATTAAATGGGCTGTGCTAACGATGAAGGTGACGATTCAGTTTGAACATTGTGTATGTTCTCATACAAGCACAATGAGCCAATGTGGAGGATACCAATGGATCTGGGTCATTAGGTGTGAGGATGTGTGAGAAAACTGTGACATTCTGAATTAAGATACAGAGGCACATTGTTCAGATCAATCAATTTGAACTACAGTGCTGCCAAACAACACAAACCTTTACATAAATGTGAGGAGACAGTTTATACTGTATCTCAAGTAGCTTTACATGTACACTGATGTGCAAACCCAGGGTTGTGTGAAAGAAAGCTTTAGAAAATGGGTGGCAGCTAAGTGTAATTTGTCATTTGAAGGAAATTGGTGCAATTAGCTGGCCGTTTTCCTTAAGCCATTTCACTAACATGTGTTTTACAGCACGATGAAGATGTGATGTGCGAAGTGTTTGGTTTTCACATGTCTCAGTTCATCTCAGTGTGAATGAAAAGCGTAGAAAAGGAGAGGATGGGACAGTCTGTGCAGCGATCACTGTGAATTAATATGACCTTGAACTGACAGAGATAACTAGAGAAAAGAAACAGAGCGATTTAGCCTTCAGATTTAAAGCTAAAAGCATCATTTTGTGTCACTCGTGAGAAAACATAGTATCGTGAAAAGCCACAACACTAGTAGAATATTCCTTTTTTGACAGAACAGGTTTTTTCATTTTACTCATGAAAATGGGAGTACTACATTTGCAGATGAAGCTGATCACTTCACTGGTATTCACTGTTGGTTACTTCCTATGTATATTATCTATTTTTTTATAAAGTAACAATGTTATTTAATGTTTGACCAGGTCGTCTTATTCTTTATTAGGATCCCCATTAGCACTAGCATGAGCATTGGCTATGAACAAAACAAAAAAAAGCTCATCATTTCATGCAATTAACAATTCAATATGAAGTGAAAACAAAAATGATCTTCTATTTGAACCATCACTAAGCCAAATAATAATTGTACATCCTCTCTGTCATTGTAACTGTTAATTACCAAACACTTTGTCCACCTTCAAACAGATTCAAGCTTTATCAAGATCAATGTTTCACCCCCTCCACAGTAACACACACCTCATCTTTTCTCACAAGCAGCTGTAGAGAACAATCCTCAAGAGTCTTATCCTTGTGATGTTTTGACCTATAACTAATGAAGACTAATGGTGAGATGCTCCAGAGTCAAACAGGGCACATGATACAATCTCTGTAATCTACTTCCTATACTGATGTGTGAACTGTATGTGAATGTTTGCATCCCTGTGAGAAAAAAACAGCAATTTAATTGTTAAATGATGACACGATATATGTTTTTATTATATACGTTTATTAAATCTTTACATGTCTCTTGTCCACAGTGAAGTTCGATGACTGCATGGGGAATGAGGCTGTGGTTTTCCGGAGCGGTGATCCGATCTTCAGCGTGCGGACAGATGGGTCCATCTATGCCCAGGGAGTGGCAGCCAGCCTGGACGAACCAGTCCAGTTTAAACTAACAGCCGGGGGTCCCACCACACGAGTCTGGGAGACGGTGATCCAGCTGGCCCTCATTGACCCACTGTTACCTCAACAAAATGAGAATGAGGTGAGTTTCACTCTCACTGAGCACAAGCACAGACACGCAAATATCATGCTTAAAATTTCAATTATAATCCCAGAGTTTCTTCTTCCTATCGAATTTCCTCCAGTGGTCCTGGTGATAGCGACAGCCAAGAATCAGGTCAAAACTCCTTGGGGTTTTAGAGAAGGAGGGAGGGAGTGACTGGAGCAATAAGAAGTAGCAGTAGCACACAGCTGAAAGTGATAGAATCGCACTGCCACGGGGGGAGATCATGACTCCCCTCAGCTAAAAGCTGTTTTTGGAAAACATCCTGTGCCTTGGATACCCCAGGGGTTCTCGACTCTTCCTCCTATATTTAAAAGCTGTCAGGGGTCAGGTGAAGCCTGAGCAGCGTGAGCTCAACCGTCCCCATGACTACAGAACCACAAGGCCACATCTGAGTGTCAAAATCAAAAGATCACATCAGGTAAAAACAACAAATATTATTAGTAGCCTGTTTTCACTATAGTGTAATTACAGACATGTCCTGCAGGAGATGGCCTGTCAGTTCCTGAACATATCAAACCTAGATAGGAAATGTATCACTTAGGAAACATAATGACTGAAAAATATCCACGAATTCTCGTTTGGGTTTTTGGTTGGAACCAGCTGTCACTTACTGGCCGTAGACACATGCTCAAGTTTAGTTGAAGCATAAAACTGTGTAAAACAATTGACAGCATTCAAGAAAAAGAAAAAGCTTAAAGCAGCTATAATTATGTTTAGTCTCACTGGTTTCAGCAGCTGTTTACAGCGAAAAGGCTCTGAAAAACACATTGAATATACAAAACACGGTATAAAGGAGAATGAATATTGCTCTTATATTCACCAGGGGGCCATAAACACATTTCTAATGCAGGCTTTTGTCGCTCTGAGGGTGCTGGATGTGTAAATTAGCAAATATTTGGCACAAAGTTCACTGTACGATATTTAAAGAAGACTATATGTAATAATTGTGTTTTAGCTGCCCTCAAGTTGCCAAAAAAACGAATTGCTTGGAGAAACCAGTTCATCCAATTTTACTATTTAGTTTATCAACCAAGAAAATATATGCTCTCATGAGGGACATGTTCACAAATTCATTACAGAAAGTTAGGATGTACATTTTAGGACTTAATAAGTAAGAATACTTTTTTTTAACCTATTTATTTCAGTTCAGGGTGATCAGTTCCTGCAGTCTCACTTTAATTATGTGCAAGTACAGATAGACAAACGCCCTCAATCAAAAAAATCATATTTTAACTAAATAAATCATATTTTGAAAACATTATAGATGGATTTCAGAATACATTTTGAGCTTTACTTCCATCACTTTGAGTCTTGAGAGGATCATTATCCATGAATAAACCACATTTTTGATGTGTGTAAGCAAAAGACGAAAATCAATGCAAAGCATCTCTGACATCAGCAAGGTTAGTTTGATTCATTGAAGATGTCAACTTTTCCAATAGTTGAATATTTTGTGTTTAGATTTTGAGACAGCTATTAAAACTGTTTAAAATCAGCTTTATTTTCCTTATAGTGCGCATGGTCACACACAAAGAATCACTTTCTAACAACAGCGAATATTGAGGCAGAGTGGGACATCGGGCAACAAGGGATCAGTGTGCGTGGGTGTGAATATGAGTGTGTTGTTCTGGCTCTGATGAAGTTGGCCTTGATCCTCACCCTATTGTAGCTGGGGAGGCTTCAGATGACTCACTGGTTAGTATGGTGTGAGCTTCAGTATTAAACCACAACGTGTGAAAGGTCAAATGACAGGCTATTCAAATAATTACAGAGCTCGACAGGGCCAAAGGTCAGAAATACGCTACGGATTGTAACAAACATGAATGTGGCGCGAGCAGAAAGCAGGGCACAGAAACAAAATGTGATGTTTCATTATGGAAATGGCTCTTTTTTGGAGTGCGCTGTTGAATAATAACTTCCAGATGTCTGGGTAGCCAGGGGCTGGCTGATATCAAAGCGTGCAGGGTTTTGGGGGAGGCAGTGGCGTGGGGGGGGGGGAGAGCCGGGACCACCGCCAGCTGGCTAAGGCTGATGGCACCAGAGCTGGGGGGCTGCATCCATTTCACACTCACTGACTCCTGTTCACATAGCGTTAGTGTGCGTAAGCGTATGTCTGGATGTGGGGGAACGTTATTTGTTTATGCTTTCTTTTTCTTTTTTTATAAGAGATTATGTCGGATCAAGTGTGAATGATTCTAATTATGCGTAACATTTTAATTGTTTTGTAGGGTCTGTGTGAGGTTGTGTCTTTGTTGAACGTATAAAGTGTCTTATGATTGGAGCCTATAGCTTTTATCTGAGCTAAGTGCAGGGTTGCACGAGTGTACGCCACCCTGCGATCAAGGGAATAACACATCCCTTTGAATCTGTAGAATCTGTCAAGCTACCATTAAACCTTCTGATATATAACTCCAGTTTGCTCTTTATCCTCCATTTTTCGTAGCAGTCTGAACAAGTGCAAAGACATCTTCGCTTAACCTGTTTTCAAATCAATTCGTCACCTTCCTGTACGTTCGTTCTTTACGTGTGAGTGAGAATAAGAACGAGTAAATCAGAGTTGGAGAGTTTAATCAGAATTACACCTTGGCTAGAAAAAAGCCTGGTTAAGCCTTTTGTGATGTGCACAGCCCTTTTTCCAATTCTCTTTCTCAGTTTTCTCTCCTCAGGGAACTCACTAGTACCTGTTAGCATGTGTAGATAAAAGGATTTGGAGCATGACTTATTTAGGTGAGGGGAGGGGAGGGGGGCCACATCTGCTTCTGACAACCCTTCTCCTCATCCTCCTCATTCCATCCCAAACACGTCTCGCCCCACCTCTGCCACTCCACTGGTGGGATGTGGGGCAACCAGCCCCTCCAGTCAGCCCCACTAAGCCTTCCTCTCCCTGAAGAGAAACAATACATTTGTCCAGAGCCGGCTCACATCTGTCTCCTCCCGCTCTGCTGACAGACCCTGTTTGTGCACACAGGCATGGTGCGCTTGGCAGAGGCCGGTCTCCTGAATATGGACTGAAGGCAAAGGATCATGAGCATGTTTCAGTGAACTTGTCTCACAGTACAGCGAACATGGAATATGGTAACATGTGTGTTTGGAGGGCTAGCAGGTCTCTTATACAGATTGTGAACACAGCAGAAGAAGAGGAGGAGGAGGAGGGTATACTGTTTGTGCTTTTTGGGCCGTGAGCATGACGACAAGCTGCTCAGGGTCACATTTGGTCTGTTTCAGGGTTTTAGCTCCCTCACTGGCCGAAAGAGGACCTGCTGCTCACCCTCAACATCATAAAATAGACAGAAACTATTTCAACATTCTGTATTTTAGTAGCATGGACACAGTCAACACCCTTTTATGTAATCTTACAGAATGTTTTTGTTGAACTATTATGCATTTTTAAATATCATATTCCTAAGCACTAACCCCTAACCTAATCATTGAGATTGAAAGTGAATGTTAAACCTTAGAAATACTGTAATAGTGTACAAAACAATACCCCCCCAAAATACCTATTCTTGAGTTGTATTTGTCAACATTCATGTACTTTCTTTACCAGCTTATACAGCTGCTATAATCCATATTGAATAATGGATGAACTGAGTTGTATTTTTTGGAATGAAACACCCACAGATAATTATCACTCTTCAGTTCCTCTCAACGTCAGAGCATTTCAAAGTTGTATAACTGTGTTTTGCTCACAACCTGCATCTTCACTGTTTTGGATCAGACTCACAGTTTATGTAACATAAACCCTCTCTGCACTACTTACACAGCAACAAAAAAAGGAATAAAGATGATGTTAGGAACTGGTTTGACGGATCAAAATGCAGCCATTTAAGAGTCCAAATTGTCTGGGTGTTAGAATCAAGATGTTCCTCCACTAATGACCAGGTGGAGCATTCAATCCTGTCGTTCATTCATCTTAATACCGCATGCGTTTCCCTGTGTAAACACCTCCCTTTCTGCACAGTTACTGAAAGTGCCCTGAATTGCACGGTGCATGGTGTCTGAAATGTAGCGCCTGCTTGATGAAACTGAACATGACACCTTGGCCCGAGCCCCTCCACACCCCACACCCCCACATAAACGCATACACACCATATGCCTGGTAGCTTGACACATTTTCCTTTAAAGCAGCCTTAAAAGCTTTTCTCCTGGGCGTCCATCTAATGAAGTCAGCCTTGAAAGCGTTGTTTCCGCTGGCAGATACGAGCCAACCCTCGGAGGGACGTTGACCAGGCAAGAACAAACAGAACGAGATAAAGAAAAAACGCTTTTTATAGACTGCATTGTACACGACCCCTACACTTTCAACGTGTGCCAGAAGCCATTGCCATCTTCCAGCACTGTAGCTGTGTTGTTTTTCATTTTTATTCTCAAATGTCAACTGCTGGGGAAGAACTGTTAGGCTACATATTGCACAGAAGTAATACGAAATGAAAGAAATGGAGGTGGTATTAAAAACACTACCCTCTTATTATGTAAATGTATGGTGATTGTATTTCCTTCTCCTATGCTCCTGAATCCCCAGATTTTTCTTATATTCTGACACGAAAACCATCCCACCCCTTCACATGAGCACGTACTGTATGTCCTGCCTGCACGGTTTTATTTACTGTAATGAAGGATTTCTCTATCCTCTCTCTAGAGGAGTGGTTTCAAATTGTTTAGTTTTTGTTCCCCCCACACCCTCTCATATTGCATTGCCACATATCGTCTGTATGTAGCACAGTACTGTCACAGTTACCCAACAGCTTCTAAAGTCCTCAGTTTGCTATAAACACACTTACAATAATGTCGTTTACTTGCAGGTATATGTGACTATTAATCAGTTCCTGCCTGGCTGTTAATGTAAGAACCATAACCAGACTCATACTTAAAAACACTGGCTATCACTCCCTTTGCCAACAAGAAAAGACACCTAAAGGCTCAGCAGATGTCTTATCACAAAGTATGTGATTACGGGTATAACTGGTAAAGATGAAGATCAGACATGTAAACAGCAGACGCCTTGGCTCGACAGCATCTAGTTCATTCATCTCCCTACCCGTTAATTAAATCCATTAATATGTTCACCTTTCATACATGCGTTTCTACCTGCGGGCACTCAAGTGGAATGTAGTGCAAAACGCTATATAATTGGAGGATGATACATCCACTATTCATGATTCACATATTAATACATAGACAAAACTGCTACTATATAGCTGCCTTTCTAATTTCATATATGTTAGTTTGATGCCTTTTCAACCATTTCTCCATGTTATCCTTATATTTCACATCCATGTTTTCTATATATTTGATTATAATTAGACCTGAGTACAAATAACAATCATTAGAAGGAGAGTAAACTTCTATGATCGGACCACCCTGTAAAAAGTAAGGTTGAATTGATGAAAGAAATGTATTGGGGGGCCTTTTAGTAGGTGTCTTTGGCGGGTGAAGCTGTGCTGCTGTGTTGCCTTCTGCTGCACCATCAGCCTAACGCAGCTCAGAGCTGGAGGAATCACTTTTATTGAGACAAGCTGTCAAGACCCACTGACTGGAAGGAGAGACAGAAACAACACTAACACTGCGAGAGAAGGGCAGGTGGGGGGGGGGGCGCGGGAGCAAGGGATAGCTCAGGGGAGCGTGATTGAGACAGAGAGCGCAACTGATACAGAGCTTCACAGTGATGTCTGTGACTCAATTCTTGACATGTTTTCACTGGCTTGTAACCCGGAGATATGTCGGTAAACTTGCTGTAGAACAAACCTCCAGATTGCCAATTTAATATAACCTTTACATCACTTACACACAGTACAGCACATCCACTGTTTCCCTGGGGACACTAGGCTTGTGATAGTTCAAAAGTATGCTTTGAGACGGTGGAGCCTATATGTAACCTTGACATAGACGTCCCAATGTGTGTAATGTACTTGCATTAAGAAGCTCCATATCTGATTATGTGCACTCTGGTGATTTAACTAGCCCTGAGGAACACGATTAAAGGCTTCTTTCTGTATTTTAAATTGACTTGTGTTTGCTCCTACCCACCCTGCAAGCATTTGTAATGAAGCAGAAACTCTGCAGTTCACCTTCATGTGTTTTGCAGTATTTCAACATGAGGACATTCATTTAGATAGGCGATATGTCCGATAGCTTCAGCATTTGATGTAGCTCTTCTGACTCACGGGTGAGTTAATGTTCACAAGGAGATTGAAAATAGGCTCCTTTCAAGTTCCTTATTGGAGCATCTTTCAAAAAGACAGATTTGTGGTGGTCATTCCTCTCTGCCTGCAGGGAGCCTGTAAGAGAAATGTGTGATGGGGGAATATGAGTTAATAGGCTCTTTATACCCAGTTTAAATGACAAAGTCCCTTGTTTATGTTCTATTAGAAATATATGCACATTCAAACTGAACTCTGTGTTGCTCAAGCCTGATGACGCAAGTTCAGATGTTTAACAAACTTAAGCAAGCTTGTCATTTGCATTAAGTTTATATTTTATATCTGTAATGAATTTCATAATTGCTGTAAAAGCTTCAACTAAAATGGTAACATTTTTAAAAACATCAATTATATTTGCCTTTTGTTCAGCTCTTGGACGATTTTGATAATCATCTTTTCAACGTCATTGCACACATTAAACTGTCTATTAAATATATAGCCTCATTTCAAATCAGCTTTTATTACAGCATCCTTTTTTTCTTTGTGTTATTTTTCTTTGCGTCTATAACAGGGATGTATTATGACTTTATCCTCAGAATGTATGAAAGCCATTATATGGATGAAGAAATAGCACCACAATTATTAAAGGAGGACTGCTTTTCATTACGGAGACTGAAAAGCTACACTACAACTTTTCTTCTCTCCAGTTATTGCTATGACACATTTACCTGCTTTTAGAGTGATTCCTTCTGAAAGCAGGGAGATGGACGTTTTTTTAAAGTTGTTTCAAAACTGCAAAACAGGATAAACATTGACCATGCCAGTCATATAATTCACACATTGTTCCCTCTTGTCAAAAGAACCTCTGCTTTGAAACAGACAAGACTTTGGCATCACATCAGTTCCTGTTAATATTAACAACACCCTTCTAAATAAAGCCTTGTGTTTTCTTAAAGGTCATAAAGGAAGAGGGGAAAGTCGCGGAGAGAAAAGAGGGGAAGGAGGCGTCACAAGCACCACCTCCTGTCATCATGTTCTCAGGGTCGGGCAGGAACAGCTCCAAGGGTCTGAGGAGACAGAAGAGGGACTGGGTGATCCCACCAATCAACGTGGCAGAAAATTCTCGAGGACCGTTCCCTCAGATGCTCGTCAGCGTAAGTGACAGATTTGATGTGCATCACTGATTTCTTCTGCATGTGCAGCTTGTTGAGAGCACTTCACGGCTAACGCTGATTGGGGATGTTGTGATGGACGTTGATAAAAGAAAAGAAACACATTAGCATAGCTGGTTTGTTCTCCACGTCCTCATAGATGATTATGTTGTGCTCCCCCGTTGTAATTATAGCCACAAAATCTTTAGACGATTTAAGCAGCTCTGATTGGCCCTGAGAAGTTTTCCCTTCAGACGCGAGGAAGGCTCCAAAGCAGCTAAGCAGCTAAACTCTCCCACAGAGTGAGGTCCACCTGGTTCACAGAATGATTATTTCTCCTCCTTTCTTTCTTTTATCAGGCCATTTCACAAAGGTTGCCCGAAGTTCAGTACTATTTTAATAGCTCCTTTATAACAATACAATTTGTCACACAATCTTTACTGAATCCATAACTCTGGGTCTTCTGTGAGATATAAGGAGAAATAATGAAAAGCTATTTCCAGGCCCAAAAGAGCAGGACAGCAGTTTATACCATATAAGCCTCAGAAAGGACATGAAGGGTTTGAACAAAGGTTAATCAGAGATAACAATATGAACAATAAACTGTTTTCATATCGAACTAGGAGTATGCAAATAGCAACACCTCAGCTGTTTGTTCATTTTTTAATAGACCTTTCCTCATTGAGCAGTCAAGATTTGAATGTGGCAACAGCAACAACAACAACAACAACTGACTCTCATCACTGCATATTAGATTTCTGCAAAACTGCTAGTTTTGATAAGTACACAATATAAACACAACATGTTGGAGGTCGGGCCTGAGAAGAAAGAAAAACGAATAAATAAATGTTTGTGTAAATGTGTTGTTTTGCAAAAGCAGGAGCTGCAGAGTGCTTAAAATTCAGAGATTCTGTCACAACAGAATGTGCAGTTTGTCTCTCTCAGAGCGAGGCTCGAGACTCTGGCTGCTGCTGCGCGCTGTAATTCATCAAAAAACATCATTCCAAGAGACCACTGCTTCATCCCCTGCTCCCACTCTCCTTCGGTCTTTATCTGGGATATCTAACCATCAGCTTTTCCTCGCTGTTTACAAAACTCTCACAGTTTATCTCTTTGGGTCTTAAATTGTGCAAAAGAAGTACTTTTCTCTCCCTTTGTTTCTGTTCTTTGTTTTTCTTCTGGGTTTTATCCAATCCCTAGGGAACAGCCTGGGGAGCTGCTTGAAGGAAACTTTTGTATGTTCCTTTTTTTTCACACTAACAGCAAAAGGATCAAGTCAAAGATGGGAGAGTTTGCAGGTCTTTGTTTTGGAGTAAGAGTGCGTCCCATCAGCCTGACACGCTTTATCTGAGCCCTTCAGTAGTGCTTCACCAGCCACAAACCGGTCCGACAGTTCTGTTATTTCCATGAATTGGTCAGAACCAGAGAGTCAGAGGGGATGGGCCAGGGAGAAAGAGAGAGGCTATCAAAGGAACATTTGGAAGTATATTGACCAGCCAAACATAATCCACTGTGTGCAGTAAATAAGTCTGTCAGGGGCTGGTGGATTGCTGAGGGTGAAGCCTTCAGAGCAGAGGAGAAGTGATGCGTGTTGATGCCTCTGTTGGGCTCCCGTCTTTCTCTTTAATGATGACTAGAGGGCAAGTGGGGCCGTACCGAGAACTGGAGATTTTAACAAGAAGACAGCTCTGTGGGGTGGTAGGCATGGCAATGATTTTATATTGTTTATGCGTTTAGTCAATTTTTGTAACCTCTCAAGTCCTCTGTTGGGAATTTCGTAATGTTGCCTTTTGTTTCATATTTCTCAGTCAAAGCTGAAAGCAACAACAAAAATCTAAGCAACAATATTTAATTTTCCCACTCTGACATTTAAAAGTCTCCTATCATGGAATATGCACTTTAGAATGTCCTTTATACATTATGTGTACCCGGTGTGTCAGGGAACTCACAAAGTGTCAGAAAACAATGGTCTTTGTTTACATTAGCAAGCATCGCTAACACTCAGAGCTAACCTGTACTGAGAGTGTGTGGCCCAATCCCAAACCACACCCTACCCCTACACACTACCCCTCCGTGACGGAGTGAGTGACACTCACAGCTCAACGAGGCTCCCTCCTGTCAGATGGAGGGAGTAAATACAGTGACAAGCTTTGGGACAACAACGGTTTCAAATCAGCATCTCTTAGACAAAAAATAAAATTAATAACTAAAATAAAACTCCAAACATCTTTAATTGTGTTAGGTAGTCAGGTAGTGACCGGTCTCAAGTCGGCACTGATGCAGACTCGCTGTTTGAGGGCTTGATAGCCCACTCCCCCTCCACACCGCCCCACACTCGTTGGTTTGGAACAGCACTTAATGTGGCGGACCCTCCGCGCGAACGGAGGGGTAGTGTGTGTAGGGGTAGGGTGTAGGGGGTGGTTTGGGATTGGGCCTCAGTGTAAGAAAGCAGGAAATAAATAAAGGTACTCACCTTGTGGTAAACCCGCAAGAGAAAAATAATTTGAGCTCCATACTGTTTCAGAAATAATCCTTGATGTGGTTTGGAACATGATATGGCATTTAATCACAGCAGCATTTCCTTTTTTTTTTCTTCTTTTCAATCTAAGGAACCAGAATCAGCAGTTTTCTAACAGGGCTGAAACAGAGGGGTATGAGGGATGCCTAAAATGCATGATGTGTTTGGTATTTTGAGCAAAACACATCATAGACATGTTTTTTAAGTGTTTTATATATCTGAGACCCATAATATATGCCTAATAGCATGATAGGAGATCTTTAAGTTGTTGCAGTTTTAGGTTTTTCCAGAACATTTTGAAACAGAGCTCGCTCTCTCATCCCCTCTCCTGTCTCTCTCCTACTGTGCCATTACTCAGTGCTCCGTGTGCTGTGTCTGTGTGATGCCTTCCCTAATGGCCTGTGAAGTCAGTCCCTCTCCTAATGGGCTGTTCTGTCATCCAGCGCAGCACTGAGTGACATGCAGGCAGCGGTCTTTCCCTCCATCCCGTCGCTTTCCTCCCTGCCCTGACCAAGTTGCCATCAGTTGGACAGGCGGGGTGACAGCAGGCCTCACCTGTATTTCCGCAGGTCTGCAGCATTGTCACTTCTATCATGGCAGCTCAGGACAGAGGCCTACTGCCCGGCCCCTGAGCCTGCAGCCTCACATGGCTCCAGGGAATTGTTGACTGCTTATGGAAAGTCTTGGCAGGACTGTACTGCCTATTCCCCTTTAGAGCCAAGACTGTGTCAGAGCTCAATGGGAGCTTATTGACCGCTTGTTATTAATAGAAGCACTGAATTAATTATTCCAGCACTATACACTCTGCCACTTCAAGTAGTGTTGTGCACCTGATGTAAGTCTGTGGCATTAGTCCCTATCAGCCTCTAGTGACGCAGGTTTGTACTGAATGTAGCCTGGTATTAGTGTCACAAACATTTCCTCCATGTGTTCTCAGTTGTTGGACAGCAGCAGTGATTTACTTCCTTAAATACAGAGGTGGAAAATGTAGCCAAAAAGTACTCATTATAAGGAAAAGTAGTCTCATCCGACAAAAAACAACCTTGAGTAGCGAGTAACGTCATGAATAGAAGATAAAGGATTAAATACTGGCGCATTGCTATGTTTTTCAAACTATCATACTGCATGTGAATATTACATCATTTCAACCAAAGATTATGATAGTATTCATGGTCAGTTTGTAATCAAATATCCCACAACCTGCCTCAAAATAGTCAATAAAGGAGAGTTGCGCCTGTGAATGTACCCAAATATAACAAGGAAATTAGTAAAGCGTTTTTTTTTACACATTTAAGAGTAAAAACTATGTTGCAATAAATGTACCCCAGCAGTACAACAATTACATTTTACATAGTACACGCAGTACTTTGTTTCTTTACATCTCTGCTTGTTTAAAAATAAGTATGAGTGGTGCATATTGTTTAAGAGAGAGCCATGTTGAGGAAACAGAAACATCAACAAATCCCAAATGACTAAAGCAAAGGATGGGGTGAGTCATTTCTCACGTTAAACAGGTGTTCTTTGTCGTTCTCATTCTTCTGCAGCCAAACAGCCATCAATAGCATGTAAGGGACATCGATTTTTCACAGAGGCTTTTTGAAACCTTCCATTGATCCACACACTTCTCCTACGGCGGGGAGTTATCGATTTTATTCTGCTCGGGTAAATATAGACTCAACGTAACCACCCCCCCACCACCGCCACCCAACTCCCTTAACCCTCCATTAGAACAGCCGTCAGCAGAAAAATGAACAAAGCCCTGATCAAACAACAATTTAGCAACAGAGAAAACGGGGTATGAATAAATGTTTGTCGAGGAAAATGTCATTTTATTCTACTGTTCTCTGATTTATATTTCGAGACAAAAAAAAGAAAATGAGGGGCGAGAGGAATGGAGGGAAATAGCTTTGGCCAGTCACAGTTAAGATCATGGTACCACAGAAAGAGACTATTACCAAAATGAGACTGTAAATTGGTGAGCATTCTGGGAAATATGACTCTTGACTAAACTCCTTAGAGAGTTAGATAAGATAAAGAATGCTACTATCATATCCGTACATTAATATGAAGCTATGGTCAAAGACAACTATAGCCTATCATCAGAACCGAAAACAGCTAAAAGCTAAACCTATAAGATAGAATAATAATATATGGAATGCTAGGCTAAGTATGTTACGTCTAAGTATGAGACTAGCTAGCTGTTTTTCTCTGTTTTCTTGCAAAGCTAGGCGTCACCTGGTTGTTGATATTTACTCAACAGATATGACAGTGGTATTGATCATTTCATATAGCTCTCGACAAGACAGCAAATAAAGCATCTTTCCCAGAATGTCAAACAATACCTTTAAGGCTAAAAAGCATAGCCTAATATTTCACTTGAAGCAATGCTCGTTCCTCACATGGGAATGTAGAAACATAGAAAAAGTAGGTGGAGGAATCATTTCTCTCCTCCTCACTATCTTATATTGTTAACCTATTGCATCAG